TCATCTCAACAAAGAGAATCATCAGATGGTCATGTATCAATTAAAAAATCAATACAATGTTAATTCTAAACTGTTGCCGAAGCAATGCTAGAATTAATTTGCAGTGGTGTGTGGAGGGTGTGGGGTGTGGGTGGGTGAGATCAGCTGCCATGACTAGTTTCACGTCTGCTAAGACGATTTACGAATGGCTTGTCTATTCTGAATTCAAAAGAATCCAAAACAAAGATATTGATCTACTACGTTTGGTGTGTAAATTTGCTGTTGAATATACGAATTTGCGGAGCATATTGGTGGTATTTTATTCTTGTTTGTTGTACCGGAAGGATTGTAATTATATTGGCGTTGAAATAAAAATAGACGGAGAGGCCAATGATTTTATAATATGCGGAAGTTTAGACTCGGTTTGTGTGGAAAGAAGTGCTGACATAGTGAGGTCAATTGATAAAGGAATTTGGTTTTGAGATTCTGTTAGAACGAGGCGTTTGTTTGTAATTGTGGTCGTTGTTGAAGGAAAATTTGATTTAATTAGATTGTATAATTATTAGGAATCTAGAAGAAACGAAACCGATCAGTATTATTGTGGAAAATGGAAAAGTTGTGGATTCGAATTAGGAAATGAGGTCGTAATTATATGAGTACAATATAAGTTTGAATGATATGAATGAAAAATGAGAAAAGGAGAACTCATGGTGAACTAATAAGAAGCGAAAGTCTTCTTTGTTTTTTCGTTTACATGTTGGTTTTGTTGTGACACTATTTGTACCGATAGTTTATACCGTGAAATAAAATTCGTCGTCGTTTGAAGAAGATGGATAGAGGATTTTTCTGTTTGTACATTTTGTAATAGAAGTTGGAATTATGTTTTTTATTATTTGGATACACTTCTGGTTGGTTTGTACTCATTGTAACGTTTAATTGTTGTCGTTTTGTTCGGTTTGATTATGTTTTTTTTGTTGTTTTCGTTTTTCTATAGAGCGAAACAAAAAATGTTGCATATGGTGGAAGAAAAATGTTTTTCTTTTGTTTTATGATAGAATGTTGAGAGACTTACTTCTGGAAGGTCTGTTTTGTAGTAATCGCTTTGGCGGTCTTTTTCGTATTAAATCATGCTGTGCCGATCGGCGATTTCGACTACCGACAATGAGTCGAACATTCATTGCTGGTGTATTTTGAAATATATCTGTATATTTTTTATGTAGATCTCGTTTGGTTGGTGAAAATCGTTTTTCATGTGTATAATGAACAATTATTTTGTCTTGATACTTTTCCNCCGAGCGTTCAGCGAGAGTACCCGACCAGCGTTACTGGTGATAAATTCACAATAAATAAAGACCTTTTATATCCTCACATTTGTTTTACAAAGACAATAAGCTATTTTATTTGCGAGAGTTAATAAATAGTCGAACAGAAAAAGTTTTACCGTTTCATCGTACGTGAAGTTGCTAGATCGATTCGCCTCATTAATAGCACACGCAGATAGTATATCTGCCTTCCACAGTCGAGGGTGAAATGAGTCGGCACGACGAACGCTACTTGTATTATAGCGAATGAAGATAGAGTTCTGATATAAACTGCATTCGGTCGTGTGAAATGAACCAAGCATGCTAACATAGTAAATGTGGTTCACTTCATATAGAAATACAAAAAGGAATCAAACAATCAAAAGTCAATCTTATGTTACACCAACACCTATATTGAGATCGGACATACATATCAGATTAAAAGCTAATCGTCCATCAACAATAGCAATTCACTCGTCATCACAAGCAAAATAATTTTCTTCATGGTGGCTCGACTTGTCACTCGCGATGACTCGACTTGCCGTTAGTCACGACTCGAATTATTCTGAGAAAAAACGTTTTACATATTGCTCAAAGAAAGAAATCAAGATTTTCTGAGATTTTTATACATATTGATAAAACATGGACTATGGCCTCCTCTTTGGTTCACTTCATCGGACCACTGCATTCGACTTCATGTTCTTTTGCATGAACAACAGTCGACAGAAATTCTACTCATAGAAAAGTTCTCATATGATAATTTTGGTGTATGAACATTCTAGAATAACTTATCTGGTTCGTACACTTTTTTGCAGTACACATAACTTTTAGAAAAATTCCGAGGTTTCCGCATTTATTTCTGATCTGTATGTAAGGATGTAGTTCATTTTTTCTTCTGATACAACATGATCTTGTTGTTTTCTTCATCAACCCAAAAATGCGGAAAAAACGATTTTATTTCAACGCTTCATTGTATTCTCTTTTCGTTCTAGATAAGTAATCAGTTCATATTTGGTACACAATAATGACAAATACGAACTCAACCAAAGACAACGCAGCGACTATCTGGGGAACAAATAATTGTAGTGGTAAGTATTCCATAGACAATTTTATCAGTAGCGATACTAATTCTTTGCTCGTAGTCGAAATGAGTTTGAGATCAAGGTAAGGTTGAGGTTGTCGAGAGAGATAGAACTGATTCGATATTTTGAGGAGTGACGTCTACATTAGTATCAATTTAAATAAACTATTCAGGGTAATCCAACGGGTCATATGGCTTTAGAAAAGTTCCCGGATTAGTTTTATTAAACAGCAAAAATAAACTCAACTATATTTGTATTACTGTATGCGCGTGGTTCATACTATGCTCTGTCAACAGGCATTATAACCTCAGCTGTATTAAGCATACATATGAAAATGCAGGAACACATTTTAAACCACTGTGAAGATATTGACTGAAAATCGAAAGTTTTGCTTATCGCTCAGCAACAAAATTTCCTACTCTAGAAAGCCATATATAATATCACCCTCGTACGACCAGCTTGGGCCATTTTTGTTCATTCTGTTGAAGGGGTATACAGGAACGAAATATGGCTAGTCGTACAAGGGTTAATATCTATAAGCGTATAGTGATAGTTTACGATGATTGGTTTTCTGTCACTCTTTGGACTTTCTAAATGAGATTATCCTTGTAACGATGAATATTCATGTATAAAAAATAATCTAGATGTCAATAGCATGATTGTTAAAAGTATTTAGAAGACTGACGATCTCAGAAGATCGAATCGCTCCTATATATAAGTGGCTCCAAAAATTATTCATACAGTAGTCAACTTTGACTTGCGTTCAATACTGTGCAAGAAAGGACAATGATATAGATGTGCGGTTTTCACCATTATGTTCATTGTAGTATCTAGTTTATTTCAACAAAATATGAGATATATATCTTTCATATGGGGTCATCCAGAAAGGACATACTAAAACATACACGATTTTTCACGTACAAAAATTATTCATACAGAACGGAAAGTGTAAAACGACAGAAAACGCAAAGTGCAAGCGATTGAGTTTAGTATCGCGTAGGATAGCCCTGCATACGTATACACTCATACAATCGATTCGGTACAGAATCAACAAGTTTCTCTGTTACGTCATCACCGATACCATTCCACTCCTGAAGAAGGGCCTTTTTGAGTTCTTCTTTGTTGCTTGGATGGTGTTTCTTCATTCTTCGCTCTAGTTCGTCCCATACATGTTCAATCGGATTGAGATCGGGTGACGAAGCAGGCCATTTCAACACTTCAATCTTTTTCCCGTTCAGCCAATCCTTTACAATCTTGGCTGTATGTTTTGGATCGTTGTCATGCTGGAATACTAATGACCTTGTTAAGCCAAGTTTCATTGCAGATTGTAGTAAGTTCTTCTGTAGAATTTCACGATAACAAAATCGATCCATGATATTATCGATAAAAAACAAGTTTCCGACACCACTACGTGAAAAACATCCCCAAACCATCACATTCCCTCCATTGTGTTTCACTGTGGGTACTGTACATATCGGCTCATACTCTTCTGACCTCGATCGCCATACCATAACCTTGCCATCAGACCCAAATAAGTTAAATTTGGATTCATCTGACCAAAGAACATGTTTCCAGTAGTCAGAAGACTTTTGAATCATCATCTTGGCATAGGCTATCCTTTTTGCTCGATTAACTTTATTCACATAGGGTTTCTTTCGAGCTACTCGACCATAAAGACCGATTTCATGAAGACGATTTCGTACGGTATTCGCGTGAATAACAACGCCCAGTTCTTTTTCGATTTCAATTTTGACCGCTGTTGCCGATTTTCGACGATCAACTTTGATTTTCCGCCGAATAATTCGATCGACGGCAACCGTCGTTTTTCGTTTGCGGCCACGTCCAGAAATATTCAAAACACATTTTGACTTTTTATATTTTTGTACGATCGATACGATAGTTGGACGTGGAATTAACACTTTGTCGACGATGTCAGTGTACGAATCACCATTGAGAAAATGTTGAATTACTTGAGATCGAACATCAATTGAATGTTCTTTTTTCTTGGGTGCCATTTGGAAAGAGAAAATCAAGAATGGTATAAATGGGTTTTCTTTTGAGAGTAAAAGTAATGATATACAACGTATTGAGTAAAATCTCGGCCTATCAATTCATAATCATGAGCGGTCACCAGATGTCGCTACTGTATGAATAATTTTTGTACGTGAAAAATCGAGTATCTTTTAGTATGTCTTTTCTGGATGACCCCATATGAAAGATATAAATTTCATATTTTGTTGAAATAAACTACATACTACAGTGAATATAATAGTGAAAACCGCGCATCTATATCATTGTCCTTTCTTGCACAGTATCGAACGCAAGTTAAAGTTGACTACTGTATGAATAATTTTTGGAGCCACTGTAGGTGGCAGCCATTTAAGGTTCCCCATGGTGGAGAGAAGATGGAAACCTTTTCCAGAGAATCATATAGCTATGTAAAGCCTAAGTTTTTGATTATGAATTGATTTTCCGGAATGTGCTCATTTTCGGAACGCGTCTTCGTCCGAATGAAGTTAAGATAGTAAAATTAGTACGCATGGGAACAGCTAGCCGTGAGTGGGCGACCGAAGGGAGGCCGACGAACGACTAGTTGTTTCTTTTGAAAATTAGTTGAAAAGTGAGATTTATAACACTGTCGCAAAGTGTCCATAATTTTTCTAAGGTATATATACATATGACATCTTTTCGAGCTTGAAGAAAAAACTATGTAAATCACCAACTCATTCAAGTAAAAAAGATAATAAAAGATATACTGTAGGCCACGAAGTTGTGAAGAATTTCGGCAACTTTGGTAGAGACGGACTCAACAAGAACGAGGTACTTTTTAATATCAAAATATCATTAAACACTTATTAGGTACCAACGGCTAGCGGTGAGTGGTCGACCGGAGAGAGAGGTCAACAAACGACTAGGAGTGTATAATTTCAGAAGATTTCAGGAAGCGAAATTGGTCTAGGTAAAACATTCTGACAAATTATCAAATGATCAGATCATTCAAGTGAAATAACTTTTTTTTCTCTCTTTGGACGAATGGCAGCGCTCTAATACTATCCTTTCAGTAGAGGGTTTAGCGGCTACCAGGCCGCGTTACTTGTTAAGTTAAAGAAAAGTATATAAAAACAAAAGAGAATATCGTTGTTAATAATGATGTTTTAACATTTATTGAGTTATTCTTTAATATTTTGTTTAAATAAGTTCGTAATACATTATCTGGATTTGAATAATTTGCACCCGCACTAACAAATCCATGCCTCATATTCTCATAGACTTTGTATTCACATTGATTACCGAATGATTTCTTATTAAGAACTGCTGTTATATTATCAAATGACGGATCATTTCCCGCACAAATAAATAACATTGGAACTTGAAGTACATCTGCATCAGGTAGATTGAGCTGAGAACCATGAATACTAATACCAGTAAAATATGGTGTAATGTTCCATGTATTATTATTACCATTTCCACTTGCTTTCATTACACGAAGATCACCCCAACAAAAACCAATCGTAACTAATTTAGTATAATTTTGTGAATTGAGATATGTATTAACCGTCATTAGATCTTGTTGAACACGAGACCATGTTGCACTTGCTGTTGATTGATCTAGAATTTTCAGAGCAAAATCGAACCTTTTGTATCGTATTTTCAAACATACTTTGAAAAAAAATCTGGCATTAATACTCTTGTTTTGTATTCATATGCTAAACGTTCGCAGAACAATCGAGTATTTGTTACCTTAAAACCACGTATATCATAGAGAACAATTATAGCAACTGTCGCTTGTGGTGCACTACTTTCATCATCTACAACGTCGTATACATTCAAATCGCTATTCTTTATCTGATGAGGGTGTGCCCAATGGATACGACGGATCCTGAGCAACAGCTATATTTAATACAAAATATAATAACAAAGAGTTTTCAACTTCTTTGTTTTACCTAACATCAATAGACTTGAAATTATGGTGAGACAGAGAACAAACGCCATTTTGAAACTAATGTACTTTTTTGTATTGTTGTGATGAATGAATTACATTCAGTATCAAAAGGTATGACTATTTTATATTTTTCTTTTCTTTGTTATTGTTCTTGAAAGGTTTATTTCGAGTAGATAAAACTACCTTGGTATTTAAAAAGATATATAAAACAGGGTATTAAATCATTAACGGTAGTATAAAAATACATTCATGGTATTTAACTGATATATTTGCATTAGTTTATTAACGAAGTTATATGAAGAAAACATGACAGAATACCTTCAACATTAATCGCATCTAACGCTTAAAATAAATGATTAAGATTCGACAAAAGAATTTATTTACCAGTTAATTCAAAAATCTAAAACAGCGATCAAGCTGTGATTTATGTAGAAAATCCATTAGAAAAGATGTGATGAAGCAAGACCTATGATGCAATATTGTTGAAAACATTTTATTGGTTTGAAAAATTATACGGGATTTGGTAATGTATCAACAGATGGCTAAAATGTTATTCATTAAAACTATATTAATCGCCAGGGATCTTCTCACATGCTGTAAAATAGATTTTTCATCTTTGACTTGAATTCTTTAATATTCCGTTTCCAGCTGTTATACGCGTCGAATTGTCTGTCCTCTATGAAAATCTGTTACACCATCACGAATTCTTTGTCGTTGACGAGAGAATTTTCTTTTAATTTCTGCACATAATTCCGATATTGATGCTAAACATACAAATGGTATAAGGAAGATAAATAAATATCCAGCAAAATATAAATATTGTTGTACATGTGCACCATATTCTTCCGGTAAACCACATAAATGTGCCACTGCAAGAAGATTAAGTGGTAGAACAAAAATAACATTAAGCGTTGAAATAGATAATAATTGTATTGTCATCTTACGATGTTTTCTCCATTGAATTGCTTGATTTAAACGTTGTTTTTGACGAATAACACGAATTAAAAGTGTTATACTGAAAAAAGCTACAAGAAATGCAGGTAAAACATTATTTCCAATAAAATCCCATCGACCCAATATTGGATCATCTTGATAACATGGATATGCATTACATACTGGTAAATCATATGAATATGTATTCTCACATGGAAATATGAAAAGAGCATAGACATAAAATATAAATATGTACGATAGAATAAGAATTAATGGTAAATAATGAGCGAAAAATCGACCCCGTTTTGTTGTTAATGAACGATCATTGAAAATTAAAATATGTCGTTCAATTGATGCCCATGCCATTAAAATTTGTTCGCCATTATATAATCCAAATGCAATAAACCACCAAATAAGACATATTGCTGGTATTGAAGGTTTTACAATACCAGAATTGATGATAAATGTCAAATAGAGAGGAACATCTATTAATTGAGTTCCCAGACCAAAGAGAATTAACAAAATAACTACATGATTATTTAATGCTTGTCGAGCTATTCGATTACGAAAGAAATGAATTAACAGAATAAAACTACAGATAATTGATGGGCAATCAGTTAAAAGTAATAACCAAAAACGAATTGGACGTGATAAAGATATTTCTAATGTATCAAATGTTTCTTCAGGATTACTTTCATTCATCATTGCACAAGAAATAGAAATCTTCACTCGATTTTATACGATTATTATTTACAATTCATCAGAATAATTTCATCTGACAGTTTGGATTCAATGAAGAATATCCTAGATTGAAAAAAAAACTTAATTTATTCAAGGAGATTTAAATTTGTCGACGATATTTCCTAACTAATCTTTATTCAATATAATATGTCAAATGAAAGCAGAGAATAAATTTGAATAATATATGTTTCTAAGGTTAGAATGAAAACACGAACGAGAAGAAAGGAGTTATTTTCAGAAAGATAAACATCCCTTACAGAAATAGAAAAGCATTTCAAAATCAAGTGAGACTCACTGACATGACTTTCATAGTGAAGAGACGTTATACAGATTCTTACAAAAAATTGTTCTTTGATGTAAAAAAAGACTTTTCTAAGTGCATCCGGAAAGAGAAAAGCTTTTTTTGGAAAATACTTGTATAATTAAAAGATTTGAAGGGTATCATCTCGAGAAGATTGATAGATAATTGGAAAACGCTCCTACAGTTTATTCCATCTGAACGCACGAGTTAATGATTAGTTTATATAGCATACACTATACGAAGTATATTAGATAATAGATGTTCCCTAAAAATCATAAAAATATCGAAGTTAGGCTTCTTTATTATGGAAAGTTTTGAGTTTCCTTCCATTCATTGATAGATGAAACATTTGAATAAAGTATCAATTTATATATTATAATGTTTTTTTTTTCAAATTAAATCTTCGAAGAATTCAAGTTCAAGTGAAGCTTGAGCTTTAAGAGTCTAAACGATCCACCACTTATAATCTGTGAAAGATCGATACATTTGTACGGTTTTCCAAAGTTTCTTGTTTTTAAAAGCTTCTTCTTTTGAATATATACATCACACGTAAAAAGACGTTACAATACAGAGAGGAATATTAAATAGATGAGTGTCAATGATTTTTTAATACGTTTCATTTTGATTCGGTACTTGAGCAGGAACAATTGTTCTTTGTTGCTTTCTCCAAAAGTAGAATATTTGAAATTTCTTTTCAATTTCAGGTAGTGTTGCCAAGCAAACAAATGGGAAGAGAAATACAACATAACAATCAAAGAAGAACATGAAATTTTGAGTGACTTGCAATGAATCTAATGATAAACCAAATAGACTACATAATTGTAAGATTGTCCATGGAAATTGAAAAATACCGAAGATAATAAAAATGGATAAAACTTGAATAATTAATTTTCTTTGCTTTTTCCATTGCAATGATTGTTTCATGCGAACTCTTTGATGTAAAAATCTGAAGAACAATGCAAATGTTGAAATAATGATAATTAATATCGGTATTATTTGATGAAGAATTAAATCGACTTTAAAATGTATTGGAATTAATATAAAACAAGGTAGATAAATACCCACAACTGTTGATTGAACATCAACATATTCACAAATTGAATATGAATAAAAGACACTAACAGCATAATATATTAGACAATATAAAGGAATAACTATTAAAGGAATATAATGTATTAGAATTCGTTTTTTTGTTGTTGAAACCCAATGATTATGAAAGATGAGTATATGTCTTTCAATAGTACACCAAGCAAAAACAATTGTTTGGGTTGGAAAAAATCCGAAATTTGTATATGACCAAAGTTTAGAAAATGGTCGTGATACTTGCCAATTTCCATCAAGGCGATAATAATGAATAATAAGTGGGAAAAGAAAAGTTTCCAAAACTAAATCAATTAAAAGTATAAGTATAATCAAATGGTTGTTCAATGCTTCACGAAGATTTCGATTGGATAAAAATTGATATAAAGTAAATAAACAACATGGTAAAGATATAACCTCGGAAAGGAGATAAATCCAAAATCGAACTGGATATGATATAGGAAGTTCTTCATAAGCTGAAGATGCTTTAGCAGTAATATTCATAGTGAAATTATTTTCCATTGAAAAAATGAGCCGAATAATAAAGATTTTCCAACTATATATAAACATGTTGAGTGTGCTTGTGCGTTGATAATTTCATGAAGAAGAATTTTAATGGGCTTTCATGATATTCATAAATGTTCTTCATTCATCATTCTATATTTGATCTTTGATCTTGTTCAAGTGGACATTTCAACGAATTTCATTGCGATTTAGATTCATTATGTTGACATATTTTTGTCAAGTCGAGAAAGCGAAATAGGAATATCAAACGAAAGGTCGTCATTCTTTTTCTTTTTACACCCTTTGTCTAGTTTATTATTATCTATTTCAAAAATTTTCCATGTGATTCATTTTTTTGCGTCGTTGGATATTGGTAGCATGTCATTTAATTTCAAAATTCCTCCTCTTCTAATTCTAACGATGCAGAAATTCTTGGTGAGTGTTGGCAACAGCTTTTCTGAACATTCTGGAATCGGAGAAAAGCCATTTCGTGCGACTACGGAAAGCAAAAATGCATCCGGTCCAGTTCACTAACATATATTACTAGATCTGCTCATTCGAACATAATCCATACAGAGTGCATTTCTTTAAATTGATAAAGCTTTTCTGTACATCGTTCCGATTACAATAACAATTCCTAGAATAATAAACATGTTACATATCCTACTTGGTTCTTGGAATTTTTTTGATGCATTTGCTTTGATTTACTGACATCGATGTTTTATTTAATTCAAAATCATTTATCAATGAGTATATGACTTTACTTTTGCTGAACCTATTTTTATAACGAATAATATGTCGAAAATGAGATAAGAAAATGTTTGCTTTCTAATAATAACAAGATCGAATCTTGGAATTGTTTATGACTGGAAAAGCATTTCCATTAACCTATATTACTCTAAATATAATTTAACGTTTATAAATACGTCACATGCATAAAGTTTCATCAACAAAGGATATCACTGTAATTCGTCGTATTGCTTTACAAGTTGTTGTTGATTAACAAAAACTGTTTGTGCACATATAATTCATAAACTCATCCTTCTTCATACATTGAATTTGATTTGAAATACATGGATCATCGAGATGACTTCAATTGATTTCGTTCAGCGGTGTGTCTTCAACTCATAGATTTACAAGTATATTGCTTTTCTCAACATATTTTTCTTATTTATCTTTTATGACTAAATATCTATAAACAAAAATGATGAAGTCACGTATACGATTTTGACAGCAATTTTCTAAAGATCTTTCATTTGAAATCAACAGGAATAGTTATCGTTTCCTATTCTCGTCTATATTCTTGTGATGAATCGACCAACTGTAACAAAACGAACATTCAGTCAAGACAAAGCTTTTCTAATCAAATTCTTTCCACTCATATATATCTTGCTTTATAAATAATTTATGTTACTGAAGCAGAGACTGGATGAGTACAGGTACATCAAGTAAAAGTAGAAATACTTGTACTTTGAAAGTTGTACTTCGGACTTTTACTCAAGTATAATTACTCAAGTATATTTTTACTCAGTACCAGTATAAAAGTACATTTGTACTCAGTACCGGTAGTTAAGTATAT